TTGAAGGTTTAAAAGGCCCCAGTAGGGGCGCCTGGGTGGCTTAGTCGGTTAAGCGTCCGACTTTCACTTAGGTCATGATCTCGCGGTTCGTGGGTTCGAGCCCCGCGTCAGGCTCTGTGCTGACTGCCAGCTCGGAGCCGGGAGCCTGTTTCAGTCTGTGACTCCCTCTCTCTCTGACCCTCCCCTGCTCACGCTGTCTCTCTCTCTCTCTCCTAGAAATAAATAAAACATTAAAAAAAATAAAATAATAAAATAAAATTAAAAAAAACAAAAATAAAAGGCCCCAGTATCAGGGTAGTTGGTGGCACACAGGTGGAGACTGGAAGGGGAGAAACAAAGCTTGGCCACTCATTCTGAGTTTGTCTGTCACTCTTTGCTACCTGTTGCAGGTAATCTGGTGCCCCAGGGAAGACCGTGACACAGTCAAAGCTTCTGTCCCCCAGGCCCCCCTGCATCTGGTGAGAAACCAAATATCATTGCCGTGCAGTCCTCCGTACACAGGCGCTTGAGGACTGTCAGCTTTTGGAGAGAATACAATCAACCTGATACTTCCAATGACTTCTTTGTTCTTTAATAATCTCATACAGATAGGAGAAGACCTCTGAAATCTTGTCTCAGACTGGGCATAATGTGGATGCTGCTTTTGTATCTGTTGGATCTGTCATTCCTCAAAAGGTGGAACATATAAAGTAACTTCTTGCTTTCATTCTTTGCCCCTAACTCTCAAGGAGGACTAAGTAACTTGGTAAATCACACTAATACAGGGATTCCGGAAGCTACTCAGTTAGTCAAACACTGTCACTTGACTGAACTATACAGATTGCAGGAAGCCCCAGGGAGGCAGATTTCATTTGGAGAAGGGAGAGACGGAATGGGTTCACTTGGCCCCAAAATACATGAGAGTGGCAGGTCCATGGCCATGTGGCAAAGGGGCTGGGAGAGGAGAAAGTGTGAGGAACAACGTCTCCTCATTGGCAGAACTGACTGGGAGCTGGGAGACCAGGGTCCAGGGCTGTGTCTGAGGAGAACTCACCCCAGGGATGTGCTGGCCACTTTTCTTTTTGGGCCTTCTTGTTTAATCGAGTTGGTTAATGCCTATCAGTGCCCTTCAAAATTGTGGCTTTCTTAAGCCCTGAATATTTTCCTTAAGTAAAATTTGGACCCGTGCTAAGTATTTAAAACCGATGAGCAGCTCTGATGGGATGGTGTGGGACAAGGGCTGGTCCCTTTGTTCTCCACCCCTTTCAGGTGGAGCCCCAGTTTGAAAACCACGTGACAAGACTAACAGCTTGTCCACCAGAGCAGTGCTGCAGGCCTAAGGGAGATGCAGGCTTGGAGAGCTGGGAACTAATGCCTGCAAATCAAATTGCCTGTTGTTGGTAAAAATTAAAATCTTCAGCATTGCATGATCAAGGGTTTTTGCTGAAAGGTTGTTTAGCTTGAGGAGACCAGGAACCAGCCAGAATTGCAGGTCAAAATATATGATGTTTGAATATAATTCACTCTGTTTTCACCAAAAGAAAGGAGGTTCTCAAGAGGCAGGCCAATTGATCGTCTAGTATCATTGTAAAAGGGAACAAGAAAAACGGCGAAATTCTATTTTATCATAAAGCAGAGATAACACAGCACTGCTATTTTAATCATACATAGGCAATGTCTACCTATTCCTCATATATTATATGTTTCTTTAGAATATTGACATACATAATGATATACGGTTTTTTATGTATTAAGACAACACAATAAGATATCCAACGAAGTGCAAATCTCTAAGAAAAAAATGAAAGAAATGCTGTTCAAGTGACAGAAACATAAAATAGCATACTTTTACCATACACGTTAATGTTTCATTAGTCTTACAGTTAGTTACTAGTGGCCACAGTCAACAATCCTATTGTCGATTAGTTTAGAAAAGCACATAAGCGAAAATTAAATGAGAAAATAAATTTCAAAACACCTATGAAAAACAATCTTAAAGAAATAGCTTAGATGTGTATAATTATTTATTACATATTATATTATTGTGTTTTACTTCTTATTGTCTATTTTGGCTAAATCCCCAGTTAGCACTCTAAAAATTAGTGTCCCTAGTCCTGGGAGAAATATATTGGGGTGAATTTTGACTTTCTGTACCTGTTTGCAGGGGGGCAACGTTTCTCCTAAGACCGTGTTGACAGTGAAGGGTACAGACCATGTGGTCCTGGATGGGCCGAAGTGCAAGTGCAGATAGTGTGGTTTGGGTGGGCAGAGATGGGCGACCCTAGCGTTCATGTCTTCAGTGTCCCCTATCCCTCAGCACCCCTGGTTTTGAAGCAACTGTCTGGAGGCAAACTTCACTTTTTGTCAAGCCTGGGAGGTCCCAGGTCCTTTGCATTCTGGTCCTATTTCTTCAGTGTCTCTGTTGACTCAAGGTCAGGACTGTCCTGTGGTCTTCTGTGGAGGTGACAGACACCATACTCCTCGAAATCCCAGCCCTCAATTTCCCTATCCTGTGTCTAACTTTCTGTGCCTGTCCAACTTGCTCTTGGGGCACCCCGCCTTCCCCCACCTTTCCTCAGACATCATTATCAAGGTCACCATCCCTCACCTCTGTGGCTCTGCTAGAGCTATGATGAGTTGGCAGTGTCTAGTTTCTCCTGGCTCTGATGCTCTGCCCCCAGGAGTGGAGGCACCAGGTCTCTGTAGACAGCAAGTCTGCTGTAGCTACTGGTTTGGGAGAGAAGTTCCCGACTGGGTTTCTGCATATGAGCTTGTCACAGTTTTATGACTTTTCAGTCAAGTCAGGAAGGCATCCAATACAGAGTCTGTACTTGGAGAAAGAAAGTGGGAGAAACTGAGTCCTTTTGCACTAGTTTTCAGTGAGCAAAAGACTTGCTTACCAAAGTTCTGTTGTTGCGGTTTACTTAATAGGGAAGAGTGCAGACCTGTGGATGGGTGGAGGATGGGCTTGGCTTCTGAGATGGTCACGATCAGAATTGTCCTCTGGATGTGAGAGGTCTGTGGCAGTCTTCCTAGCAGGGCAGCGGGAGGCAGAGAGCTGCCTTGGAAGTGCTGACTGGCCGAGGAAGCCATGGAGGTGAGATGGGTCTGCCCTGGTGGTTCCTGGGCGCGGAGCCCAGCGTGGTGCTCTGGGGCTCTGAGTAAATGTCACAGAGAGGCACAGAGGGCTAAACAGACTCATCCATCGCTCTCCCTTCCCTTCATTCCCCCCCCAACCCAGCAAGTCCTCTTTCTATTTGCCAATGCAAACACTATCCCCCAGAACATGCAAATAATAGATAATTCCTATGGATAGATGATAACAAATATAGAGAGTGCCTGAGTATTGTCAAACATGGGATGTTGATTACAATTTTGTTGATAAATGGCTTACATTGAATATTATAGGCAAATGACTTTCTGATAAAACATAGCCATACAATAATGATTAAATTTACTTCAAAGTATTTTTTGTATGTAGCCAATTAGATGTGATAAAACATATGTTCAGTGATTATTCCATTTAAGGTGATGGAAACTGCAAGAGTTCAGATGCTAAACGTCACACTGCAAGGAGTAATTAGCATTTTGATGGACATAAAAAACCTGCCAGCTGATTCTATACAGTTATCTTAAGAAGGTGTTTAAAATATGCGTAATGGGCACCTGGGTGGCTCAGTTGGTTAAGTGTCCGATATTGGCTCAGGTCAGATCTCACGGTTCGTGGGTTTGAGCCCTGCATCAGGCTCTGTGCTGACAGCTCAGAGCCTGGAGCCTGTTTCGGATTCTGTGCCTCCCTCTCTCTCTGCCCCTCCCCCACTCGTGCTCTGTCTCTCTCTGTCTCAAAACTAAGTAAACTGTATAAAAAAATTTAAAGTATGGCTTAAATTATGTGATTTGTAGTAATCTTTTATTTGAATATAATATTGATATGCAGAGTTACGGGCTAATTTTTAGGGTACAAGTCATTAGTCAGCATTTTGTGTGGAGTTTTATATAACTTTGGAGTATCAACATACGAAAACAAGAATAGGGGTGCCTGGGTGGCTCAGTCACTTAAGTGACTCTTGATTTTGGCTCCGGTCATGATCTCCCAGTTTGGTTCATGGGATGGTGCCCCGAGTAGTTCTCTGTGCTGACAGTGCACAGCCTGCTTGGGATTCTCTCCCTCCCTCTCTCTCTGCGCCTCCCCCACTTACCTGTGTGCATGAGTGCACTCTCTCTCGAAATAAATAAACATTAAGAAAAGAAAGATATTTTAAAAAAAGAAGATGAGAACACTGGTCTGTACTTCAGTGGAGTTTGGTGTGGCTTAAGGGTTTAAGAAGAAGAATACTGACTGTCCATAGGCACTTGGATTATTTTCATTTCTTGGCCATTGTGAATAATGGTGCTGTGAACAGGAGTGTTTGGTCACTATTTTTAAGCAAGCAGGTCTTTATTTTTTTCTTCCTTCAAGTCCTTGTGTGGTTTAATTTTTTCACATTTAGATATCTGATCCATTTGAGGTTTATTTTGACTTAGAGTCTGAGGAGTAGGTCCAACTTTATCTTTTTCCCCCCCAAATGACTATAGAGTTGTTCCATTACTATCTATTAAAAATTCATTGTTTCCCAGAAATTTGAGATGCCACCTTTATCCTATATTAAATCGAACCTTGTATGGAATTTCAATTCTGTCCCTTTTGTCTGTCTGCCCTACACATAGCACTGGTGTACAGTTTTGGAGTCTGCTTTAATACCTAGTAGGGGAGTCTCTGGTAGGGTGAAGAGTTGAGAGCTTTGCCCTGAAAAGAGAGACGTCCTTCCACCCTTCTCCCAGGCAGTGGGGGGAGGGGACGTGGCGGAAGGGATGGCTGGGAGGAAGGAAGAAGCTCATCTGGATCCCCAGAGTGGTGTGGGAGGGGTTAATTTGTCCTGAGGAAGAACCCCATTTTACTGGAGGAGCCCAGACTCTGTCCTGGCATGTGTTTGTTGTGTATCGAATGATGTTTAATGAAGACACGAGAAGTCAGTTATTTCCGCTCTAGACACCATTTATTAAGGCTCTGGCCACTCCCCCTGGAGCCGCTCCAGAGCCAAATCAGTCACAGCGGGGTCCAGGTCTCGTTCTGCTGTTTGAAGCGTTGCATTGTTCTGCTTATCCAGTCAGCGAAGCTGGACACCCTGGTGAAGACTGCTGGAGGAATCCCCCTCCTGTCTCCATAGGAGACAATGCCCTTGGCCACGTTGTTACACAGCAGCGGGCCTCCAGAGTCTCCCTGTGGACAAGGAAAGGAAAAGGCCTTAAACCCTGCCTCCAGGCTCCTGCTGCCCTAAGGCCTGGCTCCCAGAGGAAGCAGGGGCGGATGGGGGTGGGGCATGGGATGGAAGTGAGCCTTCTGGATCTTTCCATGGCTGGGCTTCAGGCCTGGCTAGAGTTAGTGTCTCTAGCTCAACCCAAGTCCAGGTGCCTTCTCCTTCTCCAGGAAAACACTGCACATGTATATGTTGCATGCCCAGTGCTCCTCCTGTTACCCGAAAGACAGATTGGTGAGAAAAGTCCCCACCTCCCTCTGCTCCCACCCCACCAGACTGGGGCTGTGGGGATATAGCCTGTTCCTGCTGCCCCACCTGTCAGGCGGTATTGACAGATGCCCACGGCCTTACCAAGAAGGCGGACTTCCTCGACCTTGGGTTTCCCACACAAATTTGTGTTTGGCTGTTGTAGAAATTGAAGCGATTGCGGCACCTCCTATCCCTCTGCACGGTTAGCTGCACCTCATGGAGTCTGCTGGTTCTCCTGTTCAGGCTCAACATGCCCCAGCCCGCCACGGTGCACACGGTCCCAGGTGTCAGCCTGTCCTGCGCCGGAGGCAGAGGCACTGGGCTCACAGCTTCATTCTGTATGATTCTGTTTTCCAGCTGGCAGGAAGAGGGCAGGCACTCAGGGACGGTGTGCGCGGCGCTCACCCCACGCTCCGTCCCCACCCTGCTCCTCCTGGCCTCCCAGGATGGCCAAGCCGCCCTGCACTGAGCCAGCCAGTGGCCTGGCTCAGCAGGAGAACCAGAGGGTCGGACAGGCCATACCTGCAGTAACATGATGTCATTCACGTTGCTCTGTGGATTATATTCAGGGTGGGGGATGGCTCTGAGCACAGACCTGCGCTGCTGGGTCCTTTCGTCCCTCCTGAGGTTGTGGGCCCCCAGGATGACGGTGATAGGACTGCAAAGGAGAGGTGGCTTAGAGGTAGGTTTGAGCCTCAGGAGCTCAGCCCGCAGGCTCTGCAGGCCAGGTGGAAAGCCCCAGGGTGGCGACTGCAGCCGAGGAAATTGAGGGGACAGAAGGGTTTCAGGGGCCCAGCGCTCAGTGCTTCTCAGCCCTGAGCTGAGGGTGGTAGGGGACACAGTGACTGAGTCTTGCTTCCCCTGGAATAAGTTGAGAAATAGCTTGAATTCCTGTTTTGAGCCCTACTGTGTACCTTCATCTCCTTCTCCTGCTTTTTTGAGCATGTCCTTTTCTCTTCATTAGCCCTGGCCCGTTCTCCACCCCCAAATCCCACTGGTCTCTTTTTCACCCCTTCGTTGCTGGAAGCCTGCTTTCATATGGCTGGTCAGGGGCTCTCCTGGGCCTGTGGTACTGGCACCTGAGCTGCTCACCTTCCGAAGCAGTGAGCTGCCGTCAGCACAAAGTCTTCTCTCACCAGGAAACCCCCACAGGTGCTGGTCCCCTCTGGAGTCTGGATTATAAGAAATGCCATGTAGGGGCGGGAGTGAGGCCTGGCCTCTCGGCCTCCGATGATCTCCCCTGGAAGGAAGCATTGGACACTTATCTCTGTGCTTGCTGAGCCCGCGGTGTGGGCATCAGGGTGGTGGCTCCAGAAAGGCTGACAGATGAAGGGGCAGGAGAGATGATGTAGGGGAATGGCGGAGTTGGGGGCGATAGTTGGGTCTGCAGGGCACCACACTTTGGGAGAGTGCTCCCGGGTTCTACAGGAATCACTGGTGTCTCCCCATCCCAGACCTAACCTCCTTCCCAGCTCCCCAGAGGATAGCTCTGGATCCAGGCAGGTCAGATTCAGGCTCCCACAATGAGGGGAGATGGCCTGCTGCTGGAGGCAAATCTTGAGCTCTCTGGAGTGGCCTCTCCTGAAGTTCCCTGGGACTCTCTTCCTCAGGAAGCTTCCCAGGTCCCTCAGAGGCCCGCTCATGGCCAGTGCATGACCAACAGTGGACTGGTTTTACAGAATCTAGACATGAGATGATGGTCCTGTTATTGCTGCATCCTTATTTCCTAGGCTCAGACACATGGGCTGCCAAATGAATTTAGAAAGCACATTTATATCCCATGTCCTGTGTGCTGGGGGCAATTACAAGGGTTTTAGGTACACTCACTAACTTAACTCTCATTGAACTCTAGGAGGTACACATTGCTATTCTTCCTAGTTTATAGAGGAGAAATCTGAGGAACCGTGAATTCAAGTAATTTGCCCAACAATACAGAGTTAGGAAGTGTCTAGGCAGTCTGGCTCCAGGGTCTGTTAGAGGGGTTGGGCCTGAGGTTGGGGATGGTCACTCACCTGCCCCCACCCCGGGGGGTAGGAGAAAGGCCATCAGGAGCAGGAGCAGCCGCATCTTCTTGGGAAGACTGCCCCAGTCAGGTGCCGCTGCTGCTCTCTCTTGCCAGATTTGTAGCTCTCAAGAGGGGAAGGAAGTCTGGGGGTGGGGGCTCAAGAACAGTCCCATGCTTCTGCTGGTGTGACAGGTTTCATCACCCAAGGCTACCCGGGAGGCTTGCCCACCAACTGCCAGTGATCTGGGGGTAAGAGAGTAGGTCAAGCCAACACCATCCCGCATAGCTGCTGAGTCAGTGCTCGCAGCAGAAATGGGCACCTGGGGTGACAGGGAAAGGGGTTTGGGGCCCTGTGTCCCAGGACCCTAAACCCACCAGATTCAATAATATCCCAACAATGCAGGAAAGCTGGTGACTGCCTATCTCCTCCGCTTCCTGCCTTTCCAGAATTAGAGCCTCTGTCCTTTGGGACTTGAGTTCTCTAAATGAATGCACATTTCCTAGATTGCTTGCTTGCTTATTTATGTATGTATGTATATTAACTTTTTTAGAAAGAGAATGCACAGGAACAGGGAAGAGGGGTGGAGAGGGGAGAGAGAGAGAATCTTAAGCATCCTCCATTCTGTGTGTGGAGCCCAGTGTGGGGCTAGATCCCACAACTTTGGGATCATGACTTGAGCCGAAATCAAGAGTTGGATGCTCAGCCAACTGAGCCACCCAGGTGCCCTCTAGAGTGCTTATTTAATTTATACTTAGTAAGGTTGGGGACATGGGTGAATGAAAGATGGGTGTGGGGTGGTGGTGGGATGTGGTGAGGACACCAGCAATAAGTTGGAGAAGGAAGCCAAATAGGGAAGAAGAAGCCTGCCAGTCTTTACCCTTTGGGCCCCTGGATTCCCTGCTGACACCTTTTGCTGCTCCCACTTCTTTCTAGAAGTTGTTGAGGCAGATTGAGTAGCTCCCTCTCCTGAGTGGGTAGAGTGTACTGCCAGGGAAGGAAAAGGGCAGCACAAGGCTCTGCCACCGATAATTACTTTCTCAGGACACTTGAGCCCCAACAAACTCTCCGTGAAAATTATCACACAGTTGAGGATTTCGTTTTCCCTGCTTTCTATTCAAAGTGAGGGCCTTTGTGTCCCAGAATGCTCCCTGCATGCAGAAAAGGCCTAGAGACTTGGGTTTGTTGAGAGCTGTCAGACCCTGGCTGAAAAACAACTAAGATCCTTTTCATCCATGATATGAGTCCAATTAACCTAATCCCCATTCTCTGCCCCCAGGGGCTTCTAAGAAGAGAACACAGGCTTGCTGTGCTCCCTGTAACACATAAAGCACCATCTACAATACATAAAGAATATGCACTCCACATGGAGAGGAAGGCAGTACAGAGTGACACAGACACACTTAAAAATACTTAGAAGATTTTGTGGATGAACAGAAAAACATTGTAATACAGCATAATTTTTTTTGCAAAAATGTCAGAATTAAAAACTAATAGAATTCTCACACTTTTATAGATATGATAGCCCCATTTGAACATCTTATGAAAATTAAGAATTCTCTCCTTATACATAAATATACGTGATTTTCACAGCTGCAAAGAACTTCATCTCTTCTCTGATACATGCTTGTGAAATGTCTTTCTGCATCTGGAAAGTACTGTGTAGAAAAAAAGAAACTAGTATATTGGCTTTATTGGTGCTTAGCATTTGGGATAATTTTAATTTATTGTTACTTAAATGGTTTCAACACTTTAAAATCATTAGTCTAACTCTTTTTTAAAATGTTTATTTATTTTTAAGAGAGAGAGACAGAGCAGAAGCAGGGGAGAGGCAGAGATAGAGGGAGACACAGATTCTGAAGTAGGCTCCAGGCTTTGAGCTCTTGGCACAGAATCTGATGCGGGGCTCGAACCCATGAACTGTGAGATCATGACCCGAGCTGAAGGTAGATGCTCAACTGACTGAGCCACCCGGGAGCCCCAGTTTAACTCTTTTAAAAAGGGAAAAGGATAAAGACCAGCCTGTGGGAAAAAGGGGAGTAAAATGTATGCTCCCAATGATCTAAATATAAATGTGGATAGGAGAGTTCATGAACAGTGACCTAGGATTTCATGCCAACCTTCCCATGAGAAACAACCCAAAACAAACCTGTTCAAAATGTCCCAAACCTTACAAACCTCGAAGAACTGCCACTGCAGGAATGTTTATCACACTGAAAAGGAAGGAATAATGGGTGTTAGGCTGCTGCTATTGTTCTGAGGGAATTTGCTGAACCTACAAAATTTGAAGCTCTGCTTCGATGGCCACATAAGGTGAGGGGTGTAGAAATCAAAGACCAAACCCCACACAACCAGGTCCAATCAGAGACCCTCTTCACAATGAGCTGGGACATTAAAAGTCTATACTCTCAAAGTAACAAAAGAAGAGGTAACGAACTCATCCTTGCAAGTGATTTCGTGAAAGTTTGGAATCACTTGGACCTTTCATGGAATCTCAGACCTTGAACTTGCGTTGATATGGTTATGGACTGTGTCCCAAAGTGCCCGATGGAATCAAATGCAAATCTAGAGGAAATTCGCTTAATTCCAGGGTTTGATTCACACCTAAAAATTATTTTTCAAGTATAATGACAAGCATATAGTCAAATATAAACAAGAGGACAGGCAAAGAAATAAGACACCAGAAGTAGGAAACAATAGACAATAAGAACAGAGAACGAGTTTAATTATTGGGATAATAGTATTAGAATAATAAAGTACAGATAATAAGACAATTATGCTGAAATAAAAACAAGCTTTAAAAGCCCTACAGGGAACATGAACCTTATAAAAAGTGACATAACATTTGAAAAAGAGCTAAATACAACTTCTAATAGTGAAAAATGTAATAATCAAAATTAAAGTAACAGTGGAAAGAGTTAATAACAGATTAGACAAAGCTGAAGAGAGAATTACTAACCTGAAACAGCTCAGAAAAAATAAGAAATGAGTTCAGAATGATTAACGATGAAAATAAGGCATAGCAAAATTACTAGTATAAACAAAGAAAGATGAAACTTGGCTATTGAACACTATACCGCAAATTGATTTCAAGGTAATAAACCAAAACTTTTAGTAGATAAGATAGGAGAATTAATTTTTTTACAAACTTAAGGTAGGGAAAAAAATCATGAAAGAGGACATAAAAAGCCCTAATATAAATTATAATTACAAAGGAAAAAAGATAAAGTGACCTATATAAAAATTTCAGAAATTCTGATTGCCAAAGCCAGTATTAAGGTAGTGAAAAGTAAGGCTACATAGTGAAGGAAGATATTGTCAATAACTGAGAAAGGTTTTGATTCTGGGAGATACATGTATACATATTTATATATATAAATCATATCTATGTTATAAACCATTGGAACCATTATGTAATTTTCAAAATCTACATGAAATTGACAAATCATCAGAAAATTTAACTTAATGAAACATACTCAAGAAATTTGCATGTTCTTATAAACACTAAATAAATTGTTCAGTTATCAAAAATATTCCATTAAGGGCAGCTATACAGTCATATGGCTTCACTGGAAATCTCTACAAAACATTCAAAGAAGACTATACAATTTCTTCTAGAGAGTAGATGCTACCATCTCCTTTATGAGACTAGCAAAATGTTGAGGCCAAACCCAATGAAGACAATACAGGCAGTATCACTTCAGAATACTGATGCAAACGAAATCAATCACCCTCATTATTAAAAAAATTCTTAGCAATCTATGAATAGAAATGGTTGCATGTAATTCGATAAAAGTTATCTACAAAAATTTCAGAGCAGTCCTATACTTAATGGTGAAATGTTGAATTCTTTTTGTTCAAGAGCAAAACAATACAAGGACACCTGAGTACCCATAATTATCATTTCTCTTCAGTGTTAGACTGGAGATTTTAGCTAGGGCAGTTAGGCAGGAAATAGAAGTGCAAGTTACAGGGGACAAGAAAGAAGGAAACAAAACTGTCATTGTTTGAAGATATGATAGTGTACATAGAGAATGCCAAAGAATTGACAGATAGATGATTATAATTAATGAGATAGTTTAATAAGTTTCTTAGACACAAAATCAGTTTAAAAATTAATCACATTTCTCGGGTGCCAGGGTGGCTCAGTTGGTTAAGCGTCTGACTCTTGATTTCAGTTCAGGTCACGGTCTCACGGTTTGTGGGTTCGAGTGCTGCATCTGGCTCTTGTGCACTCTGCCTCCCTCTCGCTCTCTCCCTCTTCCTCACTCTCTCTCTGAAAATAAATAAGTAAACATTAAAAATTAATCACATTTCAATATATATAGCAATATATGAAATTTTGGAAAAGATAATATTTAAATGGCATGGAAATTATCAAATAACTAAACACAAATCTAAAACAAGATGTGCAAGATGTCTTTGGTGGAAATTATTAAGTCGCATTAAGAGATACTTAACAAAAACCCAAATACAAAGAGATTCTATGTTTGTGGATTAGAAGACTGAATATTATAAAAATATCAATTCTCTAAAAGTGATCTGTAGACTCATTGTATTCAAGAAGTATTTCATACAACTTAATCAGTTCTAAACATATGTGGAAAAACAAATGGCCACTAGCGAAGACAATCCTGAAGAACAGGATGGGAGGTCATGCTTTCAGCAAATTAAGCGGTAGTAAGGAAGATAGTGTGGTAGTGATGTGGGCACAGAAGCATAGACTGATAGTCCGGGAATAGATATCCCATACACATTTGGACACTGATATACATGTTTGGACACATATGATCTATGGACACTTGATTTATAATGGAGTTTTAATGGCAAAGCAGTGGGGATTTCTCCCTGATAAATACAGCCAGGACAGTAGATGTCTTTATGGTGTCCTACAGACACCACAAAAGCAAAAATAAAAACAAAAACAAAAACCATGACCATTTTATCACATGCCATATCCAAAATTCCATTTTCAGTGGATTATGGATACAAGCATAATGATTTGAAAATACAGTGTAACAAAATCTTCATGATAGGTAAAGATTTTATTAAAAAAACTTCTTT